ACATCACACAACACACCGATTAGCATCATTCCACACAATACACTGTACTAATACTATTCACAACACCTAATCCTCAACTCATAACAAACACATCATACTGGTACAATGCATCTCCGTGAACGACACTTCTCTCAGTAAGCAACAAGTGCCAGCCGCCGCTACATACCCAACAACACTATACGGACAATAACACAATGATCCACCTCACACACCAAACACAAGTCATCACATCCAATCACATCAGACAGATCATCGCCACAACGGTCATCATCCACCTGTTCCCAAGACCTTCAACGATTAACAAGCCGCCTGAACACATGTACATATATATATATATATATATATATATATATATATATATATAGTGACACAAATATCATACGTGATTACATTTACCACAACCACAAACATCAACGTCACTGAAGTGAGCTGTACGTATTCAAAGATTTGTCAAGTCATTGTAACTACACTGCATTACCATATACTTCTCTACTTATTCCCCTGTAGTGGCAGCACCACTACTCACAGGACTCGGACACACCAACTAACAATGTTGAATTACGAACGACCCATACATACACATATACATTGTGACATAGGATAATTGCCATCGAATGCAATAGTCTCATCACAATCACAACGCAACCATGACCAAGTATATGAACTGGTCTAGTGAACTAGATGAGTGTGAAGTTCGCTTGATGGTAATGTGCACGGTAATGCGAAGCACCAGTGGACCAGTGTTTGTCTGTTGGGTTGTGTAAGAGCTGGTGTTTATGGAATGAGTGAAGTGGTGTAAGTAGTTATTTGTGGAGGCAGTTGTTTGAGTGTGGTGGGTGATTGATGTTTCATATTGTGCAATGAAAGTAGAGTGTATGTCAGGTGTTGAGTGTATAGATTGGGGAAGTTGATGATTAGGTGGGTTTTGTTAAGTCTGAATATGTGTATGGTGTGGCAGTGGTCGAGTTTAAAGAGAATTATATTGCTATTCAAAGGGATGATCCGAAGACCTCCCCACTGACAAAAACTACGCGTCCGAGCGAGCCCGATTAGGGATCGTCGCAGGCTTCAACACGCCGGAGTGCAATGGCGAGCCTCCACCTGGGGCCAGAGCATTCGTGATCACCCTGGTCCCGGCGCCAAGTAAGTTTAAGCACACCATTCAACAATAATCTGCCTATTATACTTCAACACATTACACTCAATCATCAATTAGCAAACGTTTCACACATACAACATACACAACCAGTCGCATCACCATATAACACTCTCAACACATAAATATTTATAACTACAACCCAATTCTCAACAAAAATCATCATCATTGACACAAATACACACGGAAACATCAATTACAATTTTTACAAACACTACCCACTTATACTACTTTACATCATTTCAGTAGATCATATCCAACATCACACTCAACTTTGGCAATTCTATCGCGCCAAATTAACACTATCCATCATGCAGAACACACATCACACAACACACCGATTAGCATCATTCCACACAATACACTGTACTAATACTATTCACAACACCTAATCCTCAACTCATAACAAACACATCATACTGGTACAATGCATCTCCGTGAACGACACTTCTCTCAGTAAGCAACAAGTGCCAGCCGCCGCTACATACCCAACAACACTATACGGACAATAACACAATGATCCACCTCACACACCAAACACAAGTCATCACATCCAATCACATCAGACAGATCATCGCCACAACGGTCATCATCCACCTGTTCCCAAGACCTTCAACGATTAACAAGCCGCCTGAACACATGTACATATATATATATATATATATATATATATATATATATATATAGTGACACAAATATCATACGTGATTACATTTACCACAACCACAAACATCAACGTCACTGAAGTGAGCTGTACGTATTCAAAGATTTGTCAAGTCATTGTAACTACACTGCATTACCATATACTTCTCTACTTATTCCCCTGTAGTGGCAGCACCACTACTCACAGGACTCGGACACACCAACTAACAATGTTGAATTACGAACGACCCATACATACACATATACATTGTGACATAGGATAATTGCCATCGAATGCAATAGTCTCATCACAATCACAACGCAACCATGACCAAGTATATGAACTGGTCTAGTGAACTAGATGAGTGTGAAGTTCGCTTGATGGTAATGTGCACGGTAATGCGAAGCACCAGTGGACCAGTGTTTGTCTGTTGGGTTGTGTAAGAGCTGGTGTTTATGGAATGAGTGAAGTGGTGTAAGTAGTTATTTGTGGAGGCAGTTGTTTGAGTGTGGTGGGTGATTGATGTTTCATATTGTGCAATGAAAGTAGAGTGTATGTCAGGTGTTGAGTGTATAGAGTGGGGAAGTTGATGATTAGGTGGGTTTTGTTAAGTCTGAATATGTGTATGGTGTGGCAGTGGTCGAGTTTAAAGAGAATTATATTGCTATTCAAAGGGATGATCCGAAGACCTCCCCACTGACAAAAACTACGCGTCCGAGCGAGCCCGATTAGGGATCGTCGCAGGCTTCAACACGCCGGAGTGCAATGGCGAGCCTCCACCTGGGGCCAGAGCATTCGTGATCACCCTGGTCCCGGCGCCAAGTAAGTTTAAGCACACCATTCAACAATAATCTGCCTATTATACTTCAACACATTACACTCAATCATCAATTAGCAAACGTTTCACACATACAACATACACAACCAGTCGCATCACCATATAACACTCTCAACACATAAATATTTATAACTACAACCCAATTCTCAACAAAAATCATCATCATTGACACAAATACACACGGAAACATCAATTACAATTTTTACAAACACTACCCACTTATACTACTTTACATCATTTCAGTAGATCATATCCAACATCACACTCAACTTTGGCAATTCTATCGCGCCAAATTAACACTATCCATCATGCAGAACACACATCACACAACACACCGATTAGCATCATTCCACACAATACACTGTACTAATACTATTCACAACACCTAATCCTCAACTCATAACAAACACATCATACTGGTACAATGCATCTCCGTGAACGACACTTCTCTCAGTAAGCAACAAGTGCCAGCCGCCGCTACATACCCAACAACACTATACGGACAATAACACAATGATCCACCTCACACACCAAACACAAGTCATCACATCCAATCACATCAGACAGATCATCGCCACAACGGTCATCATCCACCTGTTCCCAAGACCTTCAACGATTAACAAGCCGCCTGAACACATGTACATATATATATATATATATATATATATATATATATATATATATAGTGACACAAATATCATACGTGATTACATTTACCACAACCACAAACATCAACGTCACTGAAGTGAGCTGTACGTATTCAAAGATTTGTCAAGTCATTGTAACTACACTGCATTACCATATACTTCTCTACTTATTCCCCTGTAGTGGCAGCACCACTACTCACAGGACTCGGACACACCAACTAACAATGTTGAATTACGAACGACCCATACATACACATATACATTGTGACATAGGATAATTGCCATCGAATGCAATAGTCTCATCACAATCACAACGCAACCATGACCAAGTATATGAACTGGTCTAGTGAACTAGATGAGTGTGAAGTTCGCTTGATGGTAATGTGCACGGTAATGCGAAGCACCAGTGGACCAGTGTTTGTCTGTTGGGTTGTGTAAGAGCTGGTGTTTATGGAATGAGTGAAGTGGTGTAAGTAGTTATTTGTGGAGGCAGTTGTTTGAGTGTGGTGGGTGATTGATGTTTCATATTGTGCAATGAAAGTAGAGTGTATGTCAGGTGTTGAGTGTATAGATTGGGGAAGTTGATGATTAGGTGGGTTTTGTTAAGTCTGAATATGTGTATGGTGTGGCAGTGGTCGAGTTTAAAGAGAATTATATTGCTATTCAAAGGGATGATCCGAAGACCTCCCCACTGACAAAAACTACGCGTCCGAGCGAGCCCGACTAGGGATCGTCGCAGGCTTCAACACGCCGGAGTGCAATGGCGAGCCTCCACCTGGGGCCAGAGCATTCGTGATCACCCTGGTCCCGGCGCCAAGTAAGTTTAAGCACACCATTCAACAATAATCTGCCTATTATACTTCAACACATTACACTCAATCATCAATTAGCAAACGTTTCACACATACAACATACACAACCAGTCGCATCACCATATAACACTCTCAACACATAAATATTTATAACTACAACCCAATTCTCAACAAAAATCATCATCATTGACACAAATACACACGGAAACATCAATTACAATTTTTACAAACACTACCCACTTATACTACTTTACATCATTTCAGTAGATCATATCCAACATCACACTCAACTTTGGCAATTCTATCGCGCCAAATTAACACTATCCATCATGCAGAACACACATCACACAACACACCGATTAGCATCATTCCACACAATACACTGTACTAATACTATTCACAACACCTAATCCTCAACTCATAACAAACACATCATACTGGTACAATGCATCTCCGTGAACAACACTTCTCTCAGTAAGCAACAAGTGCCAGCCACCGCTACATACCCAACAACACTATACGGACAATAACACAATGATCCACCTCACACACCAAACGCAAGTCATCACATCCAATCAAATCAGACAGATCATTGCCACAACGGTCATCATCCACCTGTTCCCAAGACCTTCAACGATTAACAAGCCGCCTGAACACATATATATATATATATATATATATATATATATATATATATATATATATATACATATATATAGATAGATAGATAGATATATGTATATATATATATAGATATATCATCGCCACAACTGTCGTATTCCATCGTTTCCGTAGTTCAACTGTTACAGATGTATGAATGTACATAGATATAATTTTATATAATGCTACAGTTTTTTTTATCATATTGTATTGATTATTTTTTATGAATAATTATTTTGCTTACCTCGCTTATCTCTGGGTCATTTGTTAAATGTGCATATGGGCATAAATGAGACGATTTTCCAATACAACCCTTGCCTTCAGTTGACTCTTGACTTGTAATGATAAAAAGTTGTCCTGTTTGAGCATATTGTGATGCTAGTACCATTAGACGTACACATGGAGGATAAACAACCGGATCGCCAGTAAATGATGTGATCACTTCTTCTTCAATTAACGATTTTGGTTTTTCTTTTAAAGAATTAGAACTAGAAGTAGTGCTATTGGAACTATCCGTAGGACTTCTGTTCTTTCGTTTTCTTTTCTTTTTTGAATGTGTCAAATCTGAAATACATAAAGACCTAACGTTCATAGGAATATTATTCAAATATAATAACTGGAAAACAAATTTCCCACTTGTATCAACGTCTGATCAGTTCAAATCCTATTCTTTTTATTAAAATTCCTATTTAATAAAGGAAAAATCTATTAAGAAAATTCGGATTCTATTATCAAATATCCATTGATTTTCACTTAACACATACATACAAGAACAGCTTCATGTTTACATGGTGATTCGTATTTACAACGTTAGTTACTTCGGAATTATAATTTTGTAGATTGCATATATATTTCAGTAATATTCTCTAATAATTGTATGACAGAATATTTACATATGCTAAATATTTAAACCCTAATTAACATATGATACGTTGTTAAAAAATGAAAAATAAAACGAGTTTTTAGTTATACTTTGTAAGAGTAGTAAATCACAATCCATCACCGAAGTAAACAAGAAAAATAGACTACTGAAATTATATTAAGCTGAACTAATAAGATTAAATTGTTTGAATATAGAGTTAAATAATTATTGATTCTCCACTTAGAAAAATGTTCATTTTCACTTTAATGGAAATTATAGATAAACAGGTATTGAGATGATGAGTTCATTGGGCCACTTTATATGTCGTTGTATTCATTGTACAACTAGAAATGTAAAGGATTCAAGACGCAAATATCTTCGTATTTGAAATATGTTAATGTTACTTCCATCCTATGCAATAAACTTGATCATAATGATGTATTTAGACGTTTAAATCTGGCTAAGTTAAATCTAAAATTGACGTTCGAGCGTCGAACACGAATTACAATTAATTCCTCAGACTTAATCACCTAATGTACTACTTTCTGTACAAGGTAATATTCATAAACCAGCAGCTTTTATTGAAATGCATATGAAAGGATACTTATCAGCATATACTGAACGGTAACCAGATTATGTTGCGAAGATCCTCAAAACAACAAAGTGCGATTCATCCGGAAGAACTTTATCGAAAATGATTATCCCATGCAGTTCATAAATCAGAGATATAAGTCAACAAATGATGCAGTAGGAAACCATTGTTCGTAAAATGAAAACATTTGTCAAACTTCCATTCAAAGATTTCACTAGTATGTCTAAAATCGTCGGCTAATGACCAACACTGAACCTGATAATCACAAATACAACTAAAAGGCTTCTTTTAGTTATCTGAAATCGTATCTTCCTATTCACACGTACGTTGGAAGAACGAAGATAACATCAAAGAGAATCTCTGAACATATACAGATGGACTCGATCTTGATTGATAGAAACAAACGTTGTTTTTCGCTTCAGTCCGTCTATACATACACGAAGAACTTGTGGATCACTTGGCACTGAGAATGTGACAGCTTCGCCACTAAAATTCCCTTCCTTGTCCCTTTCCGCCTTTTTAAAAGTTACTGTTTGCTTTGTTTGTTCGAACACACTTTTTGTGGTTATCATGATACCACTTGTTTTAGTCATATCTTCATTCATGATTTACGTTGATTACAACGAGCCTAATAATTTTGACATTATTCAACAGAATGTGTACCCTCTTATTAATTTAGTCACTCTTTTTCTCATATATACTTCAACCATTATCACCATTATTATGATTACTTTACTAGTTTTTTTCAATAATCATTATCACTCGATAGCCATTAACGTCCTAGACCTGATCTATATATAGTGACAAAAATTGCGGTTAACTATTCTCTGGTATCAAGATTGAGAGTTCATCGAATAACGTTTATTAATTTCAACTTTTAACCTTATATCTTTGTTTCGTCTCCCGATATTCATCTCATACATAATCTTAATGATGTTTATATATTTGTTTGTTTCATCATATTTAATGATTACCTAATCACTTATTAGTCTCATTACCCTTACATAAGCTCTTTTATGATCACTGGTAATTATAACACCTGTTCCAATCTGAATTACTACTTCCCAAAATATAACTTTTGGTTACTCTGTGAACATTTATCTAAACTTCACAAACTAAAGTATGCTAAACAATTGTTTATAATTAAATTTATTATTAGTAATTGTAAATTTAGGGTTGTATGCATTTGATAAGAAACTGTGAAACAACTCATTTTATTCTACAAAAACAAAACCTTGTTGTTCTTGCTCTGTTTAAACTATTACGGTTGTTATCAGAAGGAGTTTTGTGGATATTATAGTAATTTTAATAGTTGAGATCGTGAGTCAATTGAAGCTAGACCACTATGGAAAAACTGGAAGCACATATGCTCACTAATGACGATCTTCAAAAGGTATTTCTTGGAGTTCTATTGAGAAGAAGTGAACAGTGGAGTTCAATCGGGTCTGTTGTGAGATAACAACTCAATGAAGACAATGGTGGATGTGTCACTCAATTTCGTGGATTAGTTGAAGTTAGACATTAACACCGTTGGATGTCGGTCAGCTCAGTGGTCTAATGGTTAAGCGCTAACGCGCGAGACTGATAGGTCCTGGGCTAGAATCTCACAAAGTAGGATCGTGGATGCGTACCGCTGAGGAGTTACACAGTAAGACGAAACGGCCATCCAGTGCTTCTAGATTTTCCATAGTGGTCTAGCTTTAATTGACTCATGATCTCGACTATCAATATTACTATTGTTTTCGTATGATGTTCTCAAAAAAACATGTATTATAATTTTGAATGATATTTTTACTTTGTCAACTATTCTAAATACGAACGACCTAATGACCTATTGTATTGATTTTAAAAGTTGATTATCATTGGTTAGATATTTTTTATTTGGTCACATTATTAAAATGTAGATGACCTTGATTAGTGTTGGATGAACACATATATAAATATCAAAAGTATATAAAATGACTGGATACTCTTGAGAGAAGAAAATCCAACTTATTTTATTTAAATTGTGAGTATTTTATATAAAATTTAAATCATTTACATAATGAACTCTTAACTATTTAGTAGTTCATCAAATATTAATCATAATCTCTAAGTTATTATAACAGTTTCAGAAAATCAATGATATAAATGCATAGTTGATAGAACTATAAATATGTCCTAATTTTATTATGAAACTTGTCGGTGAATTCATCATATTGGAATACTTTTTTCTTTCTTTTGTAAAGTGGTGCAAATCAAAATAAATTAACGGAATACATACAATGTGTCAATGATAATAGTAATCATATACTACGACAACTCTAAGAAAGATAAAATAACCGTTAGGAGTACAAAAATATTCCATGGATATATATATATACTCACTAAAATACATTAGATTATAATAAGCACTATTAAATTTAGACAGTTAACATAGTGAAAATGAATTTCGAAAAATGAGTTCCATAACAAAACGACTATGTATTAAGCACATTTTAAATTTCATTTGTAGTCTAGTTTTTCTGTCTTTTATTTGAAGGTCGAAACACAATCAACAATGAAACTTTAATCTATAACTCAATATTCCTAAGTGGTGGCATGATTTGATTGGTTGTAAACAAGCAAAGACTAACAGTAGGTATGAATATTAATTTCCACGAGGAAACAATGGATTAATAATTTGAAAATCGGTATTTCTTCGTCACTTTTTTCATCTCGGAATATTGCTTTCCATGTAACATGATTTTCGCATATAAATCATTTAGATGACGTACTTAGGTAGGATGTAATCGGAATGGTGAACACAACAAAATCCCTTAGTCAAAAAATTTAGGTTCACTTATAATTAAGAACAGTGTACCAATACCTAACATTACATATCACTCAGTTATTACATATTTCAGTCATAAGACTTAGTAAGAATATGGAAGTTTACTGAAAATGGTTTATGCAAACTACCAGAGGCATTAACTTGTGTTTGAAATATCTAATTAGACGACATCCCCCATTTAGTTTAGACATGCGTGGTTGGTAAAATCAATAGTACTGGAATTGAAATTAAAATATAGAAATGTTTAATCTGAAATGATAAATTCGTAATCCTATAGGTATGTACGGATGAAATATGTTATGATAATATTGATCGTGCCATCATTATTACTATTAATATTATTATACCAGTATAAAGAGAAAATAAAACACTTTTTCCAAGATTATGCATAAACCGGAATAACTCATGAACTTATTTCCAATTTATTTGGAAACCGGTAACTTAACATAGTTTCACAAAATCTCATTATCAATGATAAGTTTAAAAAAGGTAATTTAATTTGATTTATTATAAAGTGAAATTATATTCGTAAGATATGGCAGCGATTAAAATTGAGTGACTCCGATGTTTGATATAGGGCCGTCTGGTTCAAACATTTTCTGGACAAATAAAAATCATCATTGAATAAATAAATACAGTCTATTATTATGGCCGTCTTTCAACACGTTATTTGAACACGGTGGCTTGGGTATGTCGCATAATGGTAGATCATCGTTCTACAAGGGTCGTTCGAATGAAAATTGAGCACGTTCATCCTAGTAGTTATGACTAACTTAGCCACATGTCATTTAAACATACACGATACAACATGGTTTGTCCTGAGAGACACTTATGACGTACGTGTGCCATTGTAAAACCATTGCTGAGACGAGTGTTATGAGTTATATCCCTAAGGTAACTAAACATGTCGACACCCACCAGATGGGCTTGCCTAAACTTTGATGGGTCACTTCAGTTTGTTTTGTGTATGCTCTACCAATCGATAAACATAGTGAACACAGTCATCGACTGAGTTTCGAGATAAGGATTCTTTCAAATGACTATTTCTTCAGGCCATACAATTAGATTTTAAACATGCACACATAGTATCACATCTTAACATAGCCTATCATATTAACTAATCTCCCATTAAGTGACCATTTAAGCTATTGTTTTACATTTTCACTCTTTGAACCTAAGTAACTTAATTCATGCACAGTACCGGCTGGTTCATTCAATTAAACCTGTTTAATACTGACTGTTGCAATAAATATTTATTGATCTATAGATGTTTGTGGCCCAGACAAAGATGGTTATTC